CACAGACCTTGCAATACCTCAGGGAATTACTAGAGAAAAATTATTTCAATAATAACGAAATCGATGAATTCGTTTCTCTTACTAATTTGTGTATGAAACAAAATCGGTTCCAGGTAGAAGGTTGCTTTTATGAACAATAGGAAGGAACGGCCATGGGAAACCCCTTGTCCCCCTACCTGGCAGCCCTGTTCATGAGTAGATTCGAAATGGAAACCAAAGAAAAGTCGAAGTATTTTCCTAGGATTTGGCTAATGTATGTGGATGAGATTTTCGCGATATTCGATACCAAAAAATCGAATATTGACGACTTTGTTTCCATTTAAAATAATAGATGTCCATCAACAAAATTCACGTATGAGTTAGAAAATAAGGGACAACTACCATTTCTTGACGTTTTGGTAATGAGGAGCCATTATGAAGGGTTAGAATATGATATATTCAGAAAAGAAACAGGCACGTACAGGTATATTCCAGACAGTTCACATCACTGTGGACAGCACAAACGTGCTATTAACTTTGTTCATTAAGTATTTTGAAAGGATGTCAATACGATGTATAAAAAAGTCATTATGAAAATTAGGTGATTATTTGGAAAAGTATATAACTGATACTTTTTTTTCAAGTTTGCAGAATTCACATCGAACCTTATCTATCGATCCATACGTGTTTTCATAGAGTCAAGAATGATTTCACGAATCATAGAACTCTCTTTGTTCATTGTTATAGTTGCAACAAGTGACACCGACTATTGTTAGTTATCTTGTAATGGCGATGCGCATACCGTTTGTAACGGAGGAATAGAGGTAAGAGATATTCGTAAGGTCTCCCAACAAACTCATTTCCGTGTTGAGTGAATATAAAATGTATGTTTCAAAATATGTTTTACCGTTAACTAGCTGTTACACTCCTTCGAATGTCAACCCTCAGAAATCGAAACTTGTGCGAGCTAAGGACTAATGAGGTCTTAACTTTCAACGTGTGTTTCCTAATACGTTATTATTGTTGTTGGAAAACAGTCCAAGTCACGCACAGTTTGGCATAACAGATCTGCTGATTGTGAGGATCTTCAAGATCGTTTCTGAATTTTTTCCTGGCTAGATGTTTGTTTCAGCTCTAATGATCCATCAACTTGTGCTTTCGAAGCCACGGAAGATATTCTACCATCCTTAGATGCATATATTCCTTTTTCAATGAAACGAACTTCTAACGGCAAATCTTGTTTCACCAAAGATTGCGAGGAAGCTGTTGCCTCCAAAAATTTCGCTTACTGGCAGTGACGCAAAAATCTCAAAACAGACTTAGGTTTGTTGATGCTCAAAACAGCTGCAAAACTAGAATAAATGAAAGCAAAGAACTTCACAATCAGAGAAGCAGAAATATACTGCCTGCCATTTCCAGCAGGTCTAGATCCTTTTGGTCGGAAGCTCAACAATTTGCGTCCCACTCCACAGTCGATTTTCGAAGAAAGACGCCACCCACAATCCACAATCACAAGTTATATTTTTGACAACGTCTAGTCAGGCGAATTTTGAAACAGCTTCATATCAACCAGTCGTCTATTCCTGATGAAGTGCCCGTCATCTAAATTGGAAAGTGTGGCAATGAACTCGCACCAGTATTTTGCAGAGTCTCTGACCTGTTTTACAAGAAAGGAGTTTTTCTTTTTGTTAGAAAATTGCCCGCGTTCAGCCTATTTCCGAAAAGGGCGAAAAAAATATTCCAAACAAATATAGACCAGTCGCTTTGCTATCAGTGATATCAAAATTCATGGAGGAAGCCGTAAACCACCATATTCTAAAATATATGCTTCAACATCTTAAGCGATCATCAATATGACCTTCTGAAACAAAGATCAACAGTAGACCTTTCATAGTATGTCGCCCATATTTGGATTAACCCAATCGAGAAACTTGGAGAGTCAACAGCTCTTGCGCTTGATATTTCTAAAGCCTTTGACCGTATGTGGCATCAGGGTTTGCTGAATAAACTTCG